GTATCACAACGGGCCAGCCCAATAGCCCAACAATCCTCAATTAAGAGGAATTAAACTCCTTACATATGAAGGAGGTGAGAGTCGAACTCCACTTGGTGAGAAGCCATCAGAGGTGGCCAACCAGTGGGTCACATGTGCTTCTCTCTCTTAAAAGTTAAACCATTCACTTGTAATAAAAGTCTCTATCATACTAAAAGAATATGTGTTTGGAATGCACATATATATATATTATTGAACTTTATCATACATATATCAATACAAATAGCAAAATGCTAGTCAGTTATCTTATTATAGCTAGAGCTTATGGACATAAACTGTTGCACTATATTTCATTCATAGTCTTTGGTGGTGCCCAAGGTGTTTCTTTTCTGCTGGGCCCCATCGGTGGAATCGGAACGTTTTTAGGTAACATTCCCAAAACTAGACGTTGTGATGGTGACCACATGGCCTTGGTTAGAACTGGGGGACTCGGTCCTTTATGACTAGGTCCCGAAGGTGGGATGCGCCATCTCCTAACACGCGGTAAACGGACAAAGTCTTTATACGTATTTTTGGATTGCAAAAAATGTTCAGGTCGATGTAAAAGGTTCTTTTCGGTGGATTCAAGAACATCAACGAAAAGGATAACAAACAATGTTACCACAAGGAACAAAATTGATTTCGTCATTACAAGATACTTCTGCGAGTTGCAATATTCATTGATCAGGTTAGGATTTATAGTAAATGTCGAAAGTCTTACCAAAAGATAGTATTTTATCTTCACAAGAATATATATAGTAATATAAATATTGAAACTTTGAATAATCTCTGTCATTAATTTCGTTTTTATCCTCAAGAGTTGGGACATAATAAGGAACAAGAAAAAATCTTATCAACGTGGTCATAGTTGCAAGCAAATCATTTTCGTCTAATCTTATATATATATTAAAAGAGAAATATTTGAGATTATTTTTGATGATGTGTCACTTCCACAATTTTACTCATCCTTATTCTTTTTCATTTATTTATTTCTATAGTCACTACCAAACACATTTATCACCAAATATACTTATTTTGTTTACTCTAATCCCAATTACCAAACAAATTAAAATATTTATAAATTTGCCTAAACCAATTTTTAAAAATATGTAGTATTAAATCTTGCCTAAAACAAGTTTATGATTAGAACATTACAAAATACATATATTCATTAGTTTTCAAACTTAAATGATCATAACATTTGAAAATCACCTAACTAATTCGCAAAATATTAAACTCGTAAACAAAGCCATAATGTTTAATTGTTTACTAATTTATGGTAAGTTTGGTTCCTCTGATTCATTCATATCATTTGAGTTCAGTTCAGATAATTTAATTAATATATAATTTTTATACCCATTTAGATTATTATATAATTCAATTTGGGTTTTAGATTGTGAATTTTAATTTTGTTCGATTTAATTTAGATATTCAGTTAATTGTCAGGTGGAACACATTTCTATATATAATAACTTTAAATTCATTTATAATAATTCATGCAATATTTATAATCGGTTATTTTACACCATAATCTCCTAGTAAACAATTTAAAGAGCTATACAAAAAAAAACAGAGTGAGTTTCTTTAAACATAAAAGTACACAAAAAGTTAGTTTAGGTAAATTAAATATAAAAGTTTATTTGTTTTTCACAAATATAAAAGTTTAATAAATGGGACATTTAC